GTGTGACCGATCCACATTGCAGGTCCCTCTGACCCCAAGCCTTGCCCTCCAGGTGTCATACTTTCCTTAACCAGGTTTCCTCGGAGGAAAAGGAGAGGTGAGCAGGTCTGAATGTCTGCACAAACCCTGGCCAGGTGGGTTTCTTGGGGGGGGGGGGCCCAGCTGAAATCTGGGGGGAGAAAGGTCCTCAGAGGTCAGGGCGAGGAATAGGTGGGGGTGGGGGAAGTGTGGGGAGGGAAGCAGCGGGCCTGGCGGTTGGCGCAGTGGAAGACGGTGGATGTTTCTAAACGTTGGCAAACTGAAGCTGCTGGAGGGGAGGGAATCCTGCCCAGGTGCCCCAGTTTGGAAAAAAAGGGAAATCAACAAATGAGTCCCCATCTGTCCCTCTGTCCTCCCTACATATACCCTCTTGCCTTTTCTTGACCCAGCAGGGCTTCTCTGGGGCACACCCTGGCATGCCTGGGGACATTTGGCCCCTGGATCAGGACAGCCTCTAGGAGGAAGAAGGAGCTGGTAAAGGCCCCTCTGAGCATCCCAGACCTTGGTGGAGTCTGAATTCAGTTCTTTGCGACACACATTCATTGCACCTGTATGGGCTGGGCACAGAGCAAGGCTCTAGGGAGACAGACTGAGGAGTGAGGGAAGGGTGTCCTGGGAGTCCCCACAAGCCTAGCTGATATCCCAGTGTGTCTGGAAAGCCAACTTTCCAGTCCCTTCTGTAGGAGCCCCTGTCGGGCAGGGTGAGGGTGGACACATGCGCGCGCAGGGAACGGGCCGGCCAGCCGTCAGTGCTGTGGGGATGAGGAGTGGGCTGGACGCACCCTGGGCCTGGGGGCGCCGAGCTCACAGGAGCTGGTCTGAGAAGGCTGTCTGGGATAAGCACGTGTCCCACTGCAGGGCTCACCAGAGCAGTATTCTAGAATGACAGGGGAGGCCATGGGGTTCCGAGGACATGTCCACCGGCCTCCTCCACAGACCTGGCCCCTTGGCCTCACTCCTTGCCGGTCAGCACAGTAACCAAACCTGTGGCTTACCGGGCACTGCCAGTTGGCCAGGCCCCGCTTGGTACCTGGTGTGCCTCTCCCTGCTGAGGCTGCATGACAGCCCTGGGAAGGACAGCTTTTGTATTATCACCATTTGCTGTTACCAACGAGGAGCCGGAGGCTGGGAGTGCTCCCCGGTCACAGAGGTGGCAAGAGGCAGGGCCAGGAGTCAAGCCCAGGTAGTTGGTCTTTGCAGGGCACTTTGGCCAGCGGCCATGATCGGCACAGCCAGGGACCTTGTTGGGAGTTCTTTGGTCTCCGCCGACAGGGACTCCGTGTGGAAGGCTCAGGAGCTGGGCTGGCGCCGGCAGGGGCTGGGATGTCAGTGGAGAGGTGGACTCGGGGGAGCACAGGCAGAGCAACCCGCGTGGCCTTCCTCCCTCCCAGCAGCCCAAAAGGCCGTTAGAGGGTTAGAGAGAGATGGCATGGCTGGGGGAAGGACTTGCAGGGTGCAGGCCCAGGACACCCAGCTGCCCCCTAGATGGCCATTCATAGAGGGTGGGGCTCCAAGGTGGAGAGGCTCCCTCTGCTGGACGATGGCTGGGAGAGAGAGCCACAGCGGGCTAGTTCTCTGGTACTGAAGATACCTTGGTCACCCCCACGCCCTAGCACAACTCAGGCTGGTTAGAAGTGGGAGGGAGAGGGAGCCCGGTGGCTCAGTCGGTTAGGTGGCTGACTTCTGATTTCAGCTCAGGTCCTGATCTCACGGTTCGTGAGTTCGAGCCCCATATCGGGCTCTGCATTGACAGAATGAAGCCGGCTGCAGAGTCTCTGTCTCCTTCTCTATCTGCCTCTCAAAAATAAATAAACATATAAAAGGAGGGGGAGGGAGAGACTCAGAAAATGAGGGAAGTCGGGCTGTGGGCAGGCACCATGTGCCACAGTGGAAAGGACACAGGGTTCTGGGTGCACAGACTTGAACTCCAAGTCCAAGTGCCACCTGGCCACTTAGCAGCCGGTGACCTCAGCAAGTCGCTTATCCTTCATAGCCTCAGTTTCCTCAACTATAAAATAGGAAGGTGGTGAGGGTTAACTAGGATAATGGTGATGTCAAGGCCAGGACAGTGCCAAGTGCTGCATTAGCTCAGTGAATTCTCCCAACAGCCCCACGGTGACATGTTATTTTTACCTCCACTCGATGCGTGAGAGCCTCGAGGCTCAGGAAGGTTCAATGACTTGCCCAAGGTCGCCGGCCAGCTCCCAAGCCCAAACATGTAACTAGCATGCTGTCCCAAGCCTGCAGATGTAGTTTCGTTCCCTGTTTTCATTCGGAGGAAAGAACTCTAGCTCCCGGAGGCCCAGACACAGCTCAGCCAAACTCAGTTCCCCAGGGTCCTTCCATAGCACCCAGGTCTTGGTAGCACTTTACAGTTTATAGGACCTCCTGACCCACATTATGTAATGGCTCTTTCAAAAAAAAAAACAAACCAACCCTGTCTTCCCCCCATTAACAGATGAGAAAACAGAGGCACGGGGAACTTAGGTCTCTTATTCACACAGGTAGGACATGGTAAATTGGCCTTGAAGCCTTTCCAGTCCTCCATGTGGCCTCCGGAAACCCCCTGGGAAAAATCACACACTAACTCTAACGGTCGTTGTCACTTCAGTGTGTGGGCATGGTCTCCCCCTTCAAAGAGCAGATTTCTTTTTTAATTTTTCAAGATTTAGTAATACATGACTACAAAGTCAAAACCTTCTGTGTAGAGTAATTCCAAGTAATTTATGTAGATATCCACCCCCAACAAGATGGGACGTGAACTCCCCACTCCTTCAGTGTGGGCTTCATGGAATAACTTCCTTGCAAAGAGCACAATAGAGAAAGGGGGAGAGAGAGTAGCATCCCAGGGAAAAGCCTGATGAACGCTACTTCAGTCAGGCGGTCAAGGTTCCCTCAACCTTGATCGTGATGAGTCACGTTCTTGGTACATAACCTTCACATGAAGTAATGAGAATGGCATGTCACCTCTTTGGTCTTCCTCCTGAAAACCGATAGCCCCAGTCTCCTCATGAGAAAAACATCAGACCATTCCCAACTGAGGGACATTCTACAAAATACCAGATCAGTAGTCCTCAAAATTGTCAAGGGCATCAGAAACAAGGGGCATGACAGCTAAATGCAATGTGGTATCCTAGCTGGAATTCTGGACAAAAAGGGGATATTGGGGAAAAACTAAGGAAACCTAAATAAAGTTTAGACTTTTGTAATAATACTGTATTAATACTGGTTCATTAATTGTAGCAAATGTACTATATTCATGTTAATAATAGACGTATATGGGGCATAAGGGAACCCAGTGCCATCTTTACAACTCTTCTGTAAATCTAAAACGGATCTCAAAAGTAAAGCTTACTTTTTAAAAAGCCAAAAGTTGGGGTACCTGGGTGGCTTACTCGGTTAAGCGTCCGACTTCAGCTCAGGTCATGATCTCGTGGTTTTTAATTCAAGCCCCGTGTCGGGCTCTGCGCTGACAGCTCGGAGTCTGGAGCCTGTTTCAGATTCTGTGTCTCCCTCTCTCTCTCTCTCTGCCCCTCCCCTGCTCATGTTCTGTCTGTCTCTCCCTCAGAAAAAAAGTAAACATTAAAAAAATTAAAAAGTCAAAAGTTTCAGAAAAATATTCAGTGAAAAATTTCCCTTCTACCCTTGGGCAGGTGCCCAGTCATCTTCCTGAACAAACAGCCATACTTCTTCCCAGGGAGTTTCCAGTGAGGCAGCGTGGTCCCAGTGTAGTCTGGCTTCCACAACTAGATGGCTGGCTCTGAATCTTGATCTCTGCCAGTTTCTGGCTGTGTGACCCCAGGCCATTCCTAAACTTCTCTGTGTCCTGTGTCCTCAAAGATAAAATCCTCATAGGATTATTGGGAGCATTGATGTATTAATGTATACAGTAAAAACCTTCTAAGTGGTTGCTTTTACTATTACCAGTAAACAAGCAAATGCATTTATGGAGCAAATGTGTTAAGAAAAAATACCCAGGGGAGGGTGGTTCAATTGGTTAAGCCTCTGACTCTGGCTCGGCTCATGATCTGACAGTCCTTCATGGGTTGGAGCCCTGCGTCGGGCTCTGTGCTGACAGCTCAGAGCCTAGAACCTGCTTTGGATTCTGTTGTCTCCCTCTCTCTCTGCCCTTCCCCTGCTCACACACACACACACACACACTCTCTCTCTCTCTCTCTCAAAAATAAATAAACATTAAAAAAAGAAAGAAAGAAATGAAGGAAAGAGGAAAGGAAGGAAGGAAGGAAGGAGGGAGGGAGGGAAGGAAAGAAGGGAGGGAAGAGAAAGAGAGAAAGAGATGAAGGAAGGAAGGAAGGAAGGAAGGAAGGAAGGAAGGAAGGAAGGAAGGAAGGAAGGAAGGAAGGAAGAAAGGAAGAAAGAAAAAGAATACCCAGGGGTGCCTGGCTGGCTCATTTAGTGGTGCATGAAACTCTTTCTTGATCTCAGGGTTGTGAGTCTGAGCTGGGTGTAGAGAGTACTTAAAAAGAAAATCTTAAAAACTGAAAACACTGAGGGGCACCTGGGTGGCTCAGTCAGTTGAGCGCCCGACTGGATTTTGGCTCAAGTCATGATCCCAGGGCAGTGGGATGATGGTGCCCCCTGTCCGGCTCTGTGCTGAGAGTGCTGGGATTCTCTCTCTCTCCCTCTGCCCTTCGCCCACTCATGCTCTCTCTCTCTCTCTCTCTCTCTCTCTATCTCTCAAATAAAAATTAAAAAAAATTTTAACTGAGTAAAAAATTGTAAATAAGGCACACATGAAAAATTACTGCCTTTTCAAGATATTAAAAACATTTTTTAACATTTATTCATTTTTTTAGAGACAGAGGGTGAGCAGGGGAGGGGCAGAGAGAGAGGGAGACACATAATCCAAAGCAGGTTCCAGGCTCTGATCGGTCAGCACAGAGCCCAACGCGGGGCTCCAACTCACAAACCGAACCTGTGAGATCATGACCTGAACTGAAGTCAGACACTTAACCGACTGAGCTACCCAGGCACCCCTTTTCAAGAAATTTTAGCTCATTGGCTAATAACCCCACCGATGGGTCATCTCGGGGAAGTAATGTTGTCTGATGTAGTATTTACTACGGATTAGGGCCCAGATTCTCTATATAAATTTAAGAGATTAACCTGTAGAAGACTGGTGAGTAGCAATTTATTTTTGTCTGGCAGGGAAAAAAAAAGTTACGGTTTTATTGCCAGGTAAGAATTACCTTTTTTGTACCTAACTCTTCCATCTTAATCCAGGATTCTGATTTCCACTGTCAGTAATGGTTTTTCGTTTCCTCCTTTGATTCTTCATTCACTAAGTAGTTAAGTACATCTCGGTACGCACTATATATTCGTATCGGTCAAGTTTACCTTGATGCCAATTTTACTTTGACAAATATAAGTATGCCATCCATGCACACCGTTCCACCCCTTGATTATCTTCACCTATTACCTCTTAAAGATAGTTTCATATCAGAACGTAAAGGGCTTCCTTACTCTTGTTTAAGCACTGTATGAAACACATCACATGGATGTATAGTTTTCACGGCTGCAAGCAATTTAGCTAGCCCCCTGCTGACGGACACGCAGGTTGTTTGCACTCTTACCACTGCAAACAATGCTGTGTGAACAGCCTCCTGAGTAGGTTAGCGTAGAATCATTTGTGCAGAGCTGGATGGGGGAGCCGAAGGGGCTCTAGGAGGCAAAGGAGCCTGAGGGAGGGACCTGATCCCTCGCTCCCAGCCCGGCCTAGCCCATCTTCCCCTGACTTTGTGCCCACCTGGCCTCCTCCTCCTGCCTCCTCCTCTCCATCCTAAGCTCCTGGTATCTCCAGAGAGGAAGGGCCAGTCTTCGATTCTCTCCAGGCCTGGACTCCGGCTTGTACTGCCTGGGTGATGAGGGGGCCTTGGATAGGCGGATCCTGGGGGCTTGGGGCCTGGGGCCGCTACTGTCCCTGGGCTGCAGCCACTGAGGGCACATGCCCAGCACGCCCGGAGGGCTCTGGTAGGGGATGAGGACCCGCGGGCCAGGGACCACCTGGGGGGGCTGGGGTTCTGGGGGAGGGGGCGGGGCAGTGCCCAGCAGCTCTGGTACAGACTTGCTTCGGGTGCCCAGGGCAGGGGGCTGGTCAGGGCACAGGGTGTGGCAGGCCGTGCTGAGGAAGGGACTGGCCAGGCTGGTCGTGATGGTCACGAGGTGGTCCAGGACACCCCCCTCCTGAGGAAACTGGGCAAAGGGGAGGCTTAAGGTGTCGTGCAGTCGCTCCAGGAGAGATGGGGCGGCCTGGGCCTGGGCCTGGGCCTGGGCCACGAGCCCCGGCAAGGCCGGCCACTCGGGCTGGTAATGCTGGCTGAGCTGCTCTACTTGGGGACGCCGCAGCAGCTTCCGGATCCTTTGCACCGTGTCGAAGCTGTCAGTCAGCACTGCCCACTCTAGGGCCGTCTTGCCCCGAATAGGGTCCACCGCTGTCAGGTCAGCACCTGGGAAGGGGCACAGGAGTGACATGGGATGGGACAGGGACGGGTGACTTGCAGAAGGGCAGATTCTTTAGCAGCAGGACTGATTTGGGTCAGATGAAAAACCAGAGAGTCCCATCCCTTCGCGGCTGGAATCTGGGAGCCGTCGGTGGCCCCCAGGGGGAGTACGTAGGCTCCTAGGGACAGCACCAGCCCTGGATCCCAACTTCCAGGTTAAGACTAAAGAAGAAGGGGTGCCTGGGTGGCTCAGGCAGGTAAGCAACTGGCTCTTGATTTTGGCTTAGGTCGTGATCTTGCGGGTTCGTGGGATCGAACCCCCAGCTGGGGCTCCATGCCGACAGCGTAGAGCCTGCTTGAGATTCTGTCTCTCCGCCCCCCCCCCCCGCCTCTCTCTCTCTCTTTCTCTCCCTGCTCATGATTTCTCTCTCTGTTTTTCCTCTCCAAATAAATAAATAATCTTAAAAACAAAAAACTAAAGATGGAAACTGAAGTCCAGAGAGGGGGAAAGGCTTCAGAGAGACCTGTTGGGGGTCCCCGGACCTGGAGAATAGAGACCTACTGAGCCAATAAAGGGGTGGTGTGCAAGTTGCTCGGGCCAGGGGAGGCCCGAGCTGCACCTTCTGGTTAGGTGGAGGGGGGCCTGCTGGTTCCCGCTCCCCATTCTTCTCTTCATCAGCACCTCCGTCGAATCCGGGGTGGGGAGGAAATAGAGGGGTGCGGAATTTCCTCCCTTCTCACCCCAAACACAGTCAGATGGGACGGGGAAGGGAAGAGCTAGAGGCCGGAGCCCCTCAGGGTGATGCACAGAGGGCAGCCCCACCTCAGGAAGAGTGAAGCCCCAAGACAGCACGAACTGTGTGCACTTCACTCCCAACAACCCCACATGGCCACGTGCCTCATCTACACATCATTGTGTCCATGGAACCCTGGCTTGTCAGATATGGAAGTCATCCCGGAGAACGCCAACACCTTCACTATACTGATAAGGCCCAGAGAAGGAAGCCATCGGCCCAAGGTCACTCAGCTAGTGACAGAGCCATGACTAGAACCCAAGTCTGGTCCCAGATATCAGCCTTTTTTGTTTTTCTGGCTGACCTAGGTTATCCTCCAAAGCTTTCTTTTCTGAGACCAACATTCATGATGTAAATAGAGCTAGTAATAGCTAGGCTTTGTGGATTGTCAGAAGCTCAAGCACACTCCCCTCCTCCAGAAGTCGGCCTAGATTGATCCTTCATCTCCACCTCTCTTCTCACCGCGACTCTACAGCTGACTTAGTGTCAGTCTGGAAAGCTTGGGGAGGGACTGGAGGTCACAAATCCCGGTCCAGGCCCCATGCACCTGCCATGAGGAGGGCAGCCACGCATTCCGATTTGTCCCGAATGGCGGCCTTCATCAGCGCCGTTAGCCCCCGCTGGTCCCTGCGCTCCAGGTCCAGGCCTGGGTAGTAGTTGAGCAGGAGACTCACCAGAGGCACGTGACCTGCAAGGCACCGAAGACAGAGCTTAGCTCTCTAGGAAGGAAAGTGATGAAGCCCCAAGCAGGCCCCGCTCCCCCCAAGCATGCAGGCTGTGCCTGTGTTGGGAGAGCCTTATACAAAAAGTGTGGGGTTGTGGCTCCAACTGAAGCGGGGGAGGAGGGGACTGGTAGGAGGTAAGGTCAACAGTCTGTCACCTGCTTGGGCAGCCAGCATGAGGGCTGTGTCCCCTTCTTTATCCTGCTGGTTCACATCGAGGAAAGGGCAGCGGCTGAGCAGGGCCACAACGTTCTCGAAACCCCGGTAGCAAGCGACCATGAGACCTGTCTGGGGGAGGGGCAGCTCAGCTCCTGCTCTTTTTTCCAGGATCCCGTCGGGGCCCCTGTGTCCTCTAAATCCACATCATTCCCAGAGAGGTCCCAGCCTCTGGGAAGATGCACCCTGGCCCCTCCCTTCCCCCAAGGACGCAGGCGCTGAATGTGCATGCTGGGGACTCAGAGTTGCACCAGCCGCCCTGGGGAGCACCTGGGGTGGCTCACCCTTCCATTGCCATCCACCTGGACGGCCTCCTCTGGGGAGACCCCCCCATCCAACGTGGCTTGGAGCTGGGCAGGATCATTGCGGACACAGGCCCAGTACAAGGCCCCCAGCCTGCAGCCTGGGGCAAGGGTCTCACAGCCGGGGCAGGACGATGCCTCAGACATGTCCAGCCCTCCCCGGCACGGCCGCCGCTCTTCCTCTTCCAGCCCTGGGGGGGGAGGGGGCAAGAAGGCCCGTCCCTCCGCCTCACGCAGTTGCCATCTAGAACACAGAGTGGAGGGGAGCAGTGTCTCCCTGGATCCCAGGGAGGGGTCCCAGCGCCCCACCCACCAGAAGAGAAGGCAAGCTGTCGGGCAAGAGCCCTAAGAGGACAGCCGGGGGTCGCGCTGTGAGGATCCCCGTGGGAGTCAAGGAGAGGGGCGGTCTTACCCGGCGTGCGAGGGTTCCCTGGGAGGCAGGCATTGGCGGGGCCCCCGGGAGCACACTCACCGGGTCTCCGGGCCGGCCCGACGGGGACTGTCTCTCCCCAGGAAGCAGCGCAGGTAACAGATGGCTGGACTTACGGAAAGAGCTGCGGCAAACACCCCGGGGCTGAGCTGGATCAAGCTGGGTTAGTAGGGGATGGGGGCCGGGCGGGGCGGGCGCTCTCCTCTCCCAGCCACCCGGCCCCGCCCTGGAGCCGGCCCCGAGTGGGCGGGGCCTGAGTCACGGCGGCCCCTCCCCCAGCTCCTCCTGCACCTAAAACACACCCTTCGGATGCTGGGGGCGGGGCGGGGCGGGGCGGGGGCGGGTGTCCCCGGGGCGGGGGCGGGGGCGGGTGTCCCCCACCCAACCTCGGAAAGCCGACGTCCACCTCCCTTCCGCCGAGTCGGGGTGGTGCTCGCTGAATAGGGGCTGGGATTTGGGGAGGTGGGGCTCCAGGAGGTCACCTGGACCTATTTTTTTGAGGTTATGGGAAACGTAAAACATAAAGAAATGCCTAATTAGGAGTACCTAAATTTATGATGGGGGTGCCTGGGTGGCTCGGTCAGTTAACCATCCTACTCTTGATTTGGGCTCAGGTCATGATGCCACAGTTTGTTAGATCGAGCCCCAGTCCCGCTCCAGGCTGCTAGGATGGAGATTGCTTGGGATTCTTTCTCTCTGCCCCTCCCCTGCTGCTCTCACTCAAAATAAAGAAATACATTTTAAAAAAACAACATGATATCGTAAGTTTCATGGCCTAGTTTTGGTATGGTAAATTAAATATGAAATATTTAAATTGCATTAATATTAGAATAATTGAATTAAATTATAATTATTTATCAATAATTATTAAACCCTTCTTTAAATTAATACTATTAAATTTAATGGATCAGTTTTGGACCTAGAGTGTAGAAAATTGAGCCAACTGTGTTCCTCTGTTTATATCACTCCCACCATCCTCATATACAAGATCTTTTTTAAAATTTTAGTTTATTTTTCATCCCTGATCCCTACAGCCATCTTCTCCTCCTTCCATTTACCAATTGGCACTTATATATCCTTGAAAATGTACATTGCATTAAAAAAAAGTAATCACGGGGACGTCTGGGTGGCTCAGTCAGTTAAGCATCCGACTTCCGCTCAGGTCATGATCTCACAGTTCATGAGTTCGAGCCCAGAGTTGGGCTCTGTGCGGACAGCTCAGAGCCTGGAGCCTGTTTCAGATTCTGTGCCTCCCTCTCTCTCTGCCCCTCCCCCACTCAAAAATAAATAAACATTTAAAAATTAAAAAAAAAAAGTGGCGTTTGGACAGGCGTGGGTGGCTCAGTCAGTTGAGTGCCGGGACTCTTGATTTCCCCTCAGGTCATGATCCCAGGATCCTGGGACCCAGCCCTTTGTCCAAGCTGACTATGGAGCCTGCTTGGGATTCTCTCTGTCTCTCCCTCTGCCCCTCTCCCACAATCATGTCCCCTCTCTCTCTGTAAAATAAAAAATAAAAAAGGTAGTGTGGGTGTAGGAATGTTTTAACCAACACCTTGGAATTGTGTGACAGAGCTCATTCTGGTCTTTCTCACCCAATGCTATTTTCGAGACCTACTCCTTCTTGCTTTCTGTGCCGTGTATTAGTTAAGAGTGTCTTGGGTTGTGTGTCACCCAAAGCTGTCCTCAGCGGTGTGGTGGCCACCAGCATCGATCCAAAACTCCTTTCAGTGTTTCTCCTGAACTACAGAAGGTAGTAAAAAACTAAAACGACACTTCCTCGATTCCCTTGACTTAGGAAACTGTGATTTCATTTCTGCTCTTGTGCAAGACATAAATTTGGAACAGAGCTAAATACCATGGGACATCTGTTTTGCTGTCACAGATCAGGACAGATGCAGGAGGGCTCTGGGGAGCAGCTTCCTGAATCATCAGCTTCCTGTAGTGACTGCTGCTTCCCGATCACAGGCAGAGGTCATGTGCTTCTCGAAGCCGGGAGTCGTTTCCGAACCTAGAACATGTTTCTCCATTCCTTTATGTGGAAACTGGCCAGATTTATTTCTGTCGTCTCCAGCTGAGCCCTAACTGACACAAGTGGCTTAACTAAATAGGGGTTTATTCTTCACACAAGATTAAGAAGTTCGGGGATAAGCCATTGGTGTTGATATAAATTAATGATGGCAGGGACCTTCTCTGGGAGTCTCTTGACTTTTCCTCATGGTCACAAGATGGCTATGTACTTCTTGCTACGACAGTAAAATGTGGTGTAGGCACGCTATGGAGTTCCATGCAGCGGTTAGAAGAAATCTAGTAGATTATGAATTCGACATCACTAATCAGATGACGCAATCCGTATCTCCAACACCCTTCTCTCTAGTCACTTTTGAGTTAAGTGTGACCATGTAACACAGTTCTGGCCAGTGAAATACAAGCAGCGGTCTGACAGGTGAAGCTCTTGGGAAAATCTTTGCTCTCTTGCTAAAAGATATGGGGCATACTTTTTACCTCTGTCTTTCTCCCCTCTTCTTCCTGTTGCATAAAATTGCATAGCGTGGGGCACCCTGGTGGCTCAGTCAGTTGAGTGTCTGACTTTCAGCTCAGGTCACGATCTCGCGGCTTGTGGGTTTCAGCCCTGCGTCAGGCTTTGCGCTGACAGTGTGGAGCCTGCGTCAGAGTCTCTGTCTCCCTCTCTCTCTGTTCCTTCCCTACTCCCGCCCTCTCTCTCACAAATAAATAAAATAAATAAATAAATAAATAATAATTAAAAAATGCGGGGCGCCTGGGTGGCTTAGTCGGTTAAGCGTCCGACTTTCGCTTTGGTCATGATCTCGCGGTTCGTGGGTTCGAGTCCCGTGTCGGTCTCTGTGCTGACTGCCAGCTCAGAGCCTGGAGCCTGTTTCAGAGTCAGTGACTCCCTCTCTCTCTGACCCTCCCCTGCTCACGCTGTCTCTCTCTCTCTCCTAGAAATAAATAAAACATTAAAAAAAATTAAAAAAAAATTTAAAAATGCACATATATGCTTCCTGACCAGGTATTGTGACATTGCTCTCTGTTTGCGGCGTGCCCACCAGCAGTGCAGAAAAGCCTCTTTGCATCTTTGACCATCCTTGTAACTATTCAGCCTTCTAATTCTTGTCAATCTGATGGCACAAGAACTATAAGGTAATATCACTATTTTACACTGGATTTTCCCCCGGTTATCAACAGGGTGAGCATCTTTCCAAATACCTGATAGCCATTCCTGTGTCCCCTCCTGCAAATTGCCTGTTCCTAGCCTTTGTCTGATGTTCTGTTGAGTTTTCCTATCTTTTTTCTTATTGCTGTTTCAGGAATTCCTTTTAATATTCTAGATAATAAACCCATTGTGAGGGGTGCCTGGATGGCTCAGTCGGTTAAGTGTCTGACTTCGGCTCAGGTCATGATCTCAGGGTTCGTGGGTTCAAGCCCCGCGTCAGGCTCTGTGCTGACAGCTCAGAACCTGGAGCTTGCTTCAGATTCTCTGTCTCCCTCTCTCTCTGACCCTCCGCTGCTCACACTGCCTCTCTCTCTCTCTCAGAAATAAAAATAAATAAATAAATAAACCCATTGTGAAATGATTTTTTTTTTAAGTTTGTTTATTTATTTTGGGGGAGGAGAGGGCAGAGAGAGAAGGAGAGAGACAATCCCAAGCATGCTCCATGAGCCCAATGAAGGGATCGATCTCACCACCCCAGGATCATAACTGAGCCAAAAATCAAGACTTAGACATTCAACCAACTGACCCATCCAGACGCCTCCATTGTCACATGGGTTTTAATGTCACAATTGCACTATGTAAATTTTTGTTAGCTTTATCTGCAGTGAGCTTCACTGAAAGAAATCTTGAGTTTTGATGTGGTTAAATTCATCAAAATTTCCCCTTGTGCTCTGTGCCCTTGAGTCTTGTTTAAGAACTTCCCACTCCAAGATCACAAAGATCTTCATTTCTTTTATTAACTTGCAGTTTTATTCATTTTTATTTTCCTGGGTTTTGGGGAGAGAGAATGTGTGCACATGAGGGCACAAATGGGGGAGGGTAGAGAGGGAGAGAGGGAATCTTAAGCAGGATCCATGTTCTGCATGAAACACCTTACTCGGGGAATGATCTCATGACCCGGAGATCATGTCCTGAGCTGAAATCAAGAGTCAGAGGCTTGACTGACTGAACCACCCAGGTTTGCAGCTTTTTGGTTTTGTTTTTGTTTTTTTTAAAAAGGTTTGAGAGAGACAGAGAGGGAGGGAGAGAATCCCAAGCAAGCTCAATGTTGTCAGTGCCGATGTATGGCTCCATCCCACGAACCATGAGTTTGTGACGTTAGCTGAAACCAAGGGTCAGATGCTCAACTGACTGAGCCACCCAGGTGCCCCTGCAATTTTTAAAAATTTTTTCAAATGTCTGGGGTGCCTGGGTGGCTCAGTTGGTTAAGGGTCCAACTTCGGCTCAGGTCATGATCTTGTATTTCGTGGGATCGAGTCCCACATCGGGTTCTGTGCTGGCAGCTAAGAGCCTGGAGGCTGTTTCAGATTGTGTCTCCCTCTCTCTCTGCCCCCTCCCTTGCTAGCACTCTGTCTGTCTCTGTCTCAAAAATAAATAAACATTAAAATTTTATTTTAATGTCTATTTATTTATTTTTAGATTTTTAAAAATGCTTATTTATTTTTGAGAGAGAGAGAGACAGAGCACAAGCAGGGGAGGGGCAGAGAAAGGGAAACACAGAATCTGAAGCAGGCCCCAGGCTCCGAGTTGCCAGCATAGAGCCCAACACAGGGCTCGTGAACCCAAGACCGTGACCTGAGCTGAGGTCGGATGCCTAACCAACTGAACCACCCAGGGGCCCCCAAGAAATATTTTCAGACTAACGCAGATTCCTTATTTTGTTTTCTTGTCTGAGTTCCTGCTTTCCTTTAGATTTTAACCTAATAAATTCTGGGTATCTGGCTAGCTTTTCTATGCTTTTAACATAATTTGCATTTGTATTCTAACTAGCATTTTTTAAATAATGTTTTAAGCTTATTTGTTTATTTATTTAGAGAACACAGGTGGTGGAGGAGCAGAGAGAAGGAGAGACAGAATACCAAGCAGGCTCCATGCTACCTGCAGAGAGCCTGATGCGGGGCTCGAGCTCACAAACCTTGAGATCCACCTGAGCCGAGATCAAGAGCCAAACACTTAACTGGCTATATCATTCAAGCAGTCCTTAACTGGCATTTTTCCTCTTTTACTTAGAAATATCAGTCCAGAGTCTAGGCAGTCATGCTATTGGAAATAGAATTTCCTCTAATCCTAATTAATTAAAAAACAACCTAATAGGAATATGGGCAAAAGATGTAATTAATTCGTGGAAGAAATACAAATGGCCAATAAACATATGAAAAGATGCTTAATCTCACAAGTAAGCAGGAAAAGGTAAATTAAAACAATAATGAAATATTACTTTGGGCCCAAAAGCTTAGCAAAAATGAGACATTAATAATATTAAGTGCTTACACTGTTGGGGGAATGTAAATTAGTGATGTATTTTCAGAAACCATTTTGACAGTATCTATCAAAATAACAAATGTACCTACACATGAACCCAGAAATTTTGCTTTCAGAAATCTTTCCAAAACAGTACTTGCGAATGCGAACAGAGATATACCGTATATACTTTGCAGCATTGTTCGTAATGGTAAAAAAATTTTTTAACTTAAATGTTCATTAGTAGAGGAAGGGCTAGAAAATATATGCCCATGTGATTATGCCTCCATTAAAAAATAATCAGATCCATATGGACTGCTCTGGAAAGATCTCTGAGACATCCTGTTGACTGAAGAGAAAAAAACTGTATATGTATATATATGTGGTATGTGTGAGATTGGCTACTTACATGTATGCAAATGCATAGAGGGGGCCGGAGCAGTAGTTGTAAACATTGGCTGCACTGTGTAATCACTTAATCACTTTGAAAACAATAGTATGGGGGGTGCGCCTGGGTGGCTCAGTCGGTTAAGCCTCTGACTCCAGCTCAGGTCATGACCTCACAGTTCATGGGTTCGAGCTCCATACCGGGCTCTGTGCTGACAGCTCAGAGCTTGGAGCCTGCTTGGGATTCTGTGTCTCCCTCTCTCTCTGCCCTTCCCCCCGCCACCTCTTTCTCAAAAATAAACATTAAAAAAAATTTTTTTTAAAGCATTGCCAGTGGTTAATGAGGGAGGAGAATAGGAATGAGGTGAAAGAGAACCCTGTGTTTTGCTTTTTCACCTCTGTGATGTTTGAATCTTCCACCAAGATAATTAGTATTTCAGGGCGCCTGGGTGGCTCAGTCAGTTGAGCATCCAACTTCTGCTCAGGTCATGATCTCACAGCTTGTGGGTTCAGGCCCTGTGTTGGGCTCTGTGCTGACAGCTCAGAGCCTGGAGCCTGCTTCAGACTCTGTGTTTCCCTCTCTTTCTCTGTCTCTCCTCTGCTTATGCTCTTTCTCTCAAATAAATAAACATAAAAAGAAAAGATCTTACTACTTCATAACAAAAGGGAAAAAAGAATCTGAAAGATTTCCCTGATTATTTCCTCCTCTTCCTCCCCAACCTCTTACATGAATATATATATTTTTTAAAGTAATCTCTACACCAAACCTGGGGCTTGAACTCACGCCCCCAAGATCAAGAGTCATGTTCCACCGACTGAGCCAGCCAGGCACCCTTCCCCAGTCTCTCTTGTACACAGCACTCATCGCTTCTCAGCGCTCCCTCTGAACTGCACTCATTCATTCATTCACTCATTCATTCAATAACTATTAACTGAAACCGCGCTGCATCAGACACATACTTTGGCTCTCCACATGAGTTATCGTTAATCCCGTTCTTGGCTGTTTCCCTCACCTTGGTCATCTTTGTCTCCTGTGCTCCTGCGAGGCGCCAAGGACGTCTAACTAGGTAAAAGGGAATCTCGCCGTTTGCTTTTCAAATTATCTTCTCCAAGCCTATAGAAGCTACTTCTGGTTCAGCACAGACCAACCACCCCCAGCCTCGGCAAGGGTCCTGTTCTGCAAGGCCACTCTCAGCCAGCAGGTGGCAGCCCTGGGCAGGAATTAGGGAAACCGCCTCAACCCTGCGTTGAGCATTGGGTCCCCGGGTTGGATGCAGGGGCAAGGTCTTGGCAGGGCAGGTACACAGGAAGAGGGTGATGGGGTCCCATTTTGGTTCCCAAAGCATGGTAGACAGGGGACTTATTTCTGTAGATCAGCTTTAGCCACACTGGCTGGATACCCAGAAGGTTTGTGTGATTTCTTTTACCTTCTGCCTGCAGCAATGCTCTGTTCCATGGCACCCTGTCCAGGCTTCTGTTCTCAGGTGGACTGTATGCTTGTCCCTTCCTAACACCTTCCCAGCTCCCCGGGCTGGGTCTTGGCCCTCCCTGTGCATGTCTTTGCTGATTGGGATGATTGTGGTAGAGGGGGACTGGGGGATGCTGGTTCATGTGTAAAATAATGATGACATCTGGGTGTTACAGATACATTTCAGCCAGGGCCTTTTAGAGTCTCAGTGTGGCAGCCTTAAGGCTTAACCATGAGGGAATTGTACCATCTATTAGGTTATCCTCCTCCTGATTTCCTAGCTGCCGGGGTCTTCTGATGGGAATACACTAGAATGTTCTTTTCTTGCCACTCCAACTTCCTTCCCTTCCATCCTGACCTTTCCACTGCCTTCTGTCTGTCCGTCTTCTTTCTGCCTGGCAGACTTCACCTCTTCTCCAACTTTTCAGTTTTGATCTTTCTCATCTCATCGTCTGGATCTTTCCATCTTCTATCCCTCTAACACTCTCTCCTAAGCCCTAACAACATACCTTGTCTGGAGCAGTGGCTTAATTCTCTGTCTTGTCCCTGACTGTCATGCCATGTCACCAGCCATCTAATCCTTTGGGCTGGGGTCTGCAAGAGTCTTGGCTTGTGGAATTCAGTCAGAAGGGAAGGGAAAGATTTGGCAAAAGTGTAGTGGCCAACCTATAAAGAGTTCAGCAAACTCGAGTCAAGTTTGGAGCACAGGCCAGTCACTGAGGAAACCAAGTGTACTGTCATCTCAACCTCTGCCTTTCTTCTAGGGTCTTTTTCCAGCACAAGCTCCCTAATCCCACCCTACAGGCCTGGTGGCAGGGGCTGGCAGTCCGAGGGAAAATGGCCCACCCCAGCTTAAGAACTAGATACGGGATAGGACCCAACATGGTGGGATGGAGAATGGAGGAGATGACCTCTGACCCCTGCTCTGGACCCTTCCGGGGGTCCCGTGTGACGGGCCATAGGTCATGCCCCCTCCTCCCTTACCATGATCTACATCACAAAACCCACAGCTCGTAACTCAATGCCAGCCAGGGAAGTCTGGGATTGATTTAGGGCCCCCTCTGACCAGTTCACTCCCACTGGACTATGGTCCCTGCGGTGGAGGTGGGGATGAGGGTCATGGGTGAAGTTCAGGCAGAGGGTCCTGACCACCACTACATCACACCTGTTGCACTCTTAGTGGATTTGTTAGGGGGAAGGGTCCAAGCATAGGAGGTCAAGGTTCTCACTGGCCAGCCCCTTCCTGGCTCAGCTCACGCGGAGGGAGCAGTGGCCATGGCCTAGTAAGCATTCAGGAACAGTGTCCTCGGGATTCGGACCTAAGGCATCCCACAAAACAGATTCTTGTTACCCACCAAGAGGGCAATTCAAGAGGTCCTAGGAAAGTGCCCCTCCCCCAATCTCAGTTATGCTGAGTTACTCAAAGCCAGGTCTCCCCACCCAGGAGTTCCATAGCCCACGGACCATCACATTCTACATTTATATTTCTCTTGGTGCATTTCTTCTTGTTAGGTTAGCTTCCATTCATCCACCTTTTCATTCTGGAGATGAAATCATTAAAGAATTTCCTCTACTTGGAATATTTCAGACTTTTGTGACCATCACCCACTGTAAAATACATCTACCTCTGGCCCCAGGACACATGAACATCCATAGAACTAAAAGCAAAAGTTTTACATAACGTTGCACATGATGTGTTCTACTCTATTCCATTTTGTTGCTTAAAAATGATTTCACGAGGGGCCCCTGGATGGCTCAGTCAGTTAAGCGTCTGACTCTTGATTTCTCTGACTCTTGATCTGGGCTCAAGTCATGATCTCTCAGTTTGTGAGATCAGGCCCCACGTTGGGTTCTGGCACAGAGTAGCCTGCTTGGGATTCTCTCTCTCTCTCTGTCCCCTGCTCTCTCCCTCCCAAAATAAACTTAAAAAAATCATTTCACAAACAACTAAGGGGCTGGCACTTACAGTTTATAAGTAACCTCTTATATTTTGACATCTTCACAAGTTGTAAAGCCCTTTTTATGAAGAGAAAAATCCACATTATCTTCATAAAAGCCAGTGAGATGGTCAGGCAGGGCTTTTCATCAACTCATTTAATAGACGAGAAAAAGAGACACTGAGCCCTTAGTGGATCTACTTGAGATCCCCCTTCTCCACGCCTGGACCCCACCTCGCACCCACTGTCCTCCCCACCTCACCCCACCCCAATGGTGAATGCCGGAGATGGGGTTCCAAGCCAGTCTTCCTGTCCCCCAAAGCCTCTCTCCCTCCCTCTCCTCAGCAACCCTCCCAATTGACTTCATTGTCTCTTTCCAGTTTGAAGGCCATCCCCTTCCAGGAACCGGAGGGACAGAGCAGCTGAGTAATTCTGTTTTCTTGTCATCTGTTAACACTGCACCATCTGCCAGCTCCACTCCCCGGGCTCCTACCGCTCCCTGAGAGGCCTGCCTGGGGGAGGCCGCTGTGTCCCGGAGGCTGGACCTCCAGGCCCCCCTCACCAAGGAACTCCAAAGACCCGCACGAAGCTCATTTCTTCTGCTCAGTCCCAACAGCGGCGGGCTAGAATTACAGGGATAAGTAAGGGAGCGGAGCGGGATGGGAGGAGGGCCTTTCTGACGTCACAGGGATAAAACAATAGGATCCACCCCTCCCCCACTCCCAAGGTCCAGTCTTCGAGCCTCCACACCTCCGCCGGGGAGACCGCGATGCTTCAGAGCTGTGAGGGTGAGCCGAGCCCTGCAAGCCACTCGGGGTGAGGGCAAGGCGAGTCCATCTCCCAGGGAGCCCAGGAAGATTTATGGGGCCTCGGGTGTGGCTGGCTGTTACTCAGCCTCTGACTTTTTAATTCCCCAGTCTCCTTACCCACCCCGCCTCCTCCCCAAGAGGGCCTTTGTGCAGGACAATGAGGAATCTATAAATTCCGGGGGACAGGGGTGTGGGGGAGGGGAGCCCCGGTCGTTTCAGCTCAGCATGGACAGCAAGGGGTGGCCTCCATGGGCCCGCCACATCTCATCAGATCCACAGTAGAGCCCTGAGAGAAGGGTGGGGGCCGAGCCTTACCACCACCGTCTTTTACAGCTGAAGAAACTGAGGCTCAGAGACAAAGAGGATCTCTAGTCCCTTCTCCATTTATTCCACCGTTCACTCACGTATTTATTCTCCTCTCTTACTCTTCCTGGGGTCATTCCCTCAGTTGAGCATTCACTCAACAAACACATGTGGTCACTCAGTGAAAACCCATGGAGTACCAACTCAGTACCTGGGCAAGTCCAGAAAACACCAACAACTGGTAAACCCCGGCCCACCCTGGAGGGGCACAAACCAGTAGACTCTGACTTAAAAGGGACCAAAGTATGGCTCCATCCGCAGCCTTTCAGGCTGCCAGCCTGCACCCTTTCCCTCCTCCTTCCCAGCAACAACCCTGGGCAGCTGATGAAGCCCTTTCATTAGCATTTTAAAATTTAATCCCAGCGAAGCCTCCAGCGGTTAGGTATTATGTGAGCCTTCCCCAGCCTCTTGCTAACGTGGCCCCAAAAGGGTAAGTGGTTGCCCAAAATCACCCCGCTGGTGGGGGGCAGAATAGCAGGACCCAGGCCCTTGACATTGCACCACGGCTGCGGCTGCACTCCTGGGTGCTGTGGGGGTCCAGAGCGTGGGCCTGGGCTGTGGCCCTACACTTCCTCTTCTACCATTTGTCCTAACTAGCCTTGTGGCCTCCCACTCCCACCCCCCATGCCGATCCTTCCCTAATGTTCCCTCCTCCTGTTCCGTTCTGCCTTCCTGCTCCACTTATTAAATGTCCCAGGTTCACCGGTGTCTTTATTTACTCAACCCACCCATCCGTTGTACAATAATAACCAACTCCGTGCTTATGATGCATGCATGTATTTGCTGAAGGACCACACATTCTTGTGTATGTCCCAGTATGTCTCTGCTAAGGATATTAGTGTCTACTTTGTTGTACAAATTAAATCAGTTAAGCCACGTAAAGCACTTATAATAACGCCTGGCACATCATAAAGGCTCAATACGATATGGCTGCTAAGCTTCCTGATACTGGAAACCACAGGCCTGCCCTCATAGGTGAGGCATTTAAGTGAAACACAGGTGAGTACAGGGATTAGCAGCTGGCTTCTCCCAGGGAGTGGCCGCCTTCGAAGTGACCAAATGGATTCGTATCCAGTTAGTTCCCCAGGGACTCCTGCATTCCTTAAATGCATGCAAGTCTGTTCAGCACCTCCTAGGTCTGTGCCAGGCATCATGCCAGCAGAGAATAAGGAAGACACCTGCATTCCTCAAGCTGGCATTCTGGTAAGTGAAACAGACCACACACCAAGTGAATAAAGAAGAAAATTACAGAAAGCGGTTAAGGCCCAAAGAAAGAGATACAGTTAAGGGACACAGTAGACCAGGGGCGCCTGGGTGGCTTAGTCGGTTAAGCGTCCGACTTTCGCTTAGGTCATGATCTCACGGTTCGTGGGTTCGAGCCCCGTGTCGGGCTCTGTGCTGATTGCCAGCTCAGAGCCTGGAGCCTGTTTCAGAGTCTGTGACTCCCTCTCTCTGACCCTCCCCTGCTCACGCTCTCTCTCTCTCTCTCTCTCTCCTAGAAATAAAAATATATATATATTAAAAAAAAAGGGACACAGTAGACCAGGCAGTTGGGTGTGCGGCTGCTGTAGCATTGCAGGTCAGGGTTGATGGGGAGCTGACATCCTGGGGAAGGATCTGGGCAGAATGTTCCAGGCAAAGGGAACAGCAAGCCCAAAGCCAGAGGTGGGGAAGAGCTTGCCGGGTTCGGGTTCTCGGGTTCGAGGGATATGAAAGGCAGCTAGTATGAGTGGCATCTGGACAGAGGGGAGAATGATCTGGGAGAGGTCAGTCTAGGCAGGGGCAGTGTAAGAAATTGGGGCTTTCCTCCAAGGGAAGCTATCCAAGGTTGTTAAACAGGGAGTGACAGGCTCTGATTTTCTTTCTTCCTTTTTTTTTTTTTCTGATTGGTATTTTTAACATCCCTCTGAAGCTTTGTGAATTGACTGTGGGGATGCCAAGAGAGCAGATAGACTTTGCAAGGAGATAATAGGGTCTTAGACACGGGAGGTGGGGAGCAGGGGCTGATCCAGATACATCTTAGAGACAGAAGGGACAACAGAGCGGATTGGGCAACGGGAAGGATGGGAGAGGAACTCAGGAAGAAAGAACCAGGGCAGCTCAATAAGTAAAGTTATCTCCGTCCTGAGCCTTTCGAGTCCTCCTGCTCTCCCTGGCCCTGCCCCTGAGCCACAGAAGCCAACTCTAGCCATTTCCTCTCCCCCTGTCTACACTCAGCAGCCCTAAACCAGGGGCAGTCCAGACCTGCTCATTCGGATCCTTTGTAAGAAAAGGCCCCTTGCCTTCCTCCAGAATGAGCAGCACCTGCCAAGGCCCAAGGCTTGGACTTCAGACCCCTGTGAACCCCTCCACCTGGCTCTTGTTTAGGTCGCAACCCGCACAACCGTACAGCTCCCCTCTCCCCAGCCTGGACCGCTGGCCCAACCTGAAAATCCTAGGAGCCTTGGGACCTGCAGGCGCTGGGCTTGTTGGGACACAGGCCTGCAAGCACTCAGGGGCCGGGAACGGGAAGGTGGGGCTTGGCCTTTCCTAAGGGAATCTCCCAGCCCCGTTCCCGGGGGGGGGGGGGGGGGAGGAAGTCCCCTCCCGAGTCGGCGCCCCGCCCCCGCCCACTAGCTGGCCGCGGAGGCCGCCGCCCCTCCCGCCCAGCAAAGCGCTCGCAGCCGGTCTTCCGGCCTCGGGCTACGGGCGGGGGAGGGTCCGAGCCGTAATTGCTGCCATCTGCTCCCTCCCCTCCCCCACCCCGCCTGGGGGAGGGGCTGAGGCGCGCACCGCACGCCCCTCTGACGCGCGCGCCCGGCCCCCGAGGGGCGGGAGCTCCCGGGGTCCCGCGAACCGTCCCGGGAGCGAGTGCTGGGGGGCACGAGGAGCGCGCCCGCAGCCCTTCCTGGGCAGGGGTCGAGGGGTCCCGGCGTCGCTTTACCAGACACTGAAAACCAGCGTTCGGGGCCTGCCCCTCGCGGGGTCGGGACTCCACAGGACCGTGGGCACCCGCCCGCCTCGACTCACGCGCGGCGTCCACACCGGTCAGTGGTTGAGGCCGGCGTTGGGACATTGACGCATCGATCTCTGTCTGAACAGGACGGATGTGACTGTGGGCGGGGAGTGGGAACCCAAGGCCGGGGCCTGGAGCCCGCGGGAGAGGCAGGGCGGCTGGAGACAGAACTTGGCCCTCAGACACAAGGGGCCAGGCTGAAATTCCTCCCTGTGACTACCCACCCGGAGGATCCTGAGTCCGTTCTTTCGAGCCTCAGAGCCCTCAGGGTCCATTTCCTAGTCTGTAAAAACGGGCTCCCCAGTACCTACCTCTCCGGTGATTCCACGGAGGGCGAGTTGCTAGTCCTGGGGAGATGGGGAGGTGGGTGGGTATGGGCCCTGGCCTGGCGGAGCCCCTGGGGCGGTGGGAGCGGCCCTGTGGAAGGCACTTGGCAGCGGGGAGCCTTGAAGAGGCAGGCAGAGGGAGGGTGGGCTAGGGACCGGAGGCCCGGGAACATCGTGGGAGCAGCCTCTCTGGCTTCAAGCCCATCTCTGGCCTTTTTGGCTCTTGGACCTCTTTATCCAGCTCTGGGGGCGTTGGGGGTGCTCACAGGACAGAGGAGCGTACCCTACTGCCTGGGGGGCCAAGACCCACTTAACCTGAACACTTACACGTCTACACACACACACACACACACACACACCCCAGGGGTCTACGAAGCCCAGGTGATCCTGAGCGAGGCCTCATTGTCGCCAAGGCCACAGGACCTCCCCTTACATCACAAAATGTGTGCTGCCTTCCCCTCCTACAACCTCGCCCACTCTAACAAACCTGTGTTTGTCAAAAAAGCCAGTTCCAGAGGGGCTGAGATGCAACCCCCCCACCCCACCCATTCCCAGCCCCAGCCTGCCAGAGCCCATGCCTCTACACGGGTGAGCCCCAGGGATGCCAAGCAGCCAGCTCTCAGCCCCTGGAAAGGCTCTCGATTACGTGAAACATTTGGGAATCAGCAACCATCAGACAGCCCAGGGGACTGCTCCTGGCGAGGGGTCAGGATGAAGCTAGGAGTCCGTTGGGTGGGGTTCAGGGAGAAACAGAAGTCCCGGGGGTGGGGGGTAGAAGAGGAGACGTGGTGTTCCAGGCAGAAGGAACAGCCTGTGCAAAGACTTGGGAGTGTGAAAATGTGTGATGGGACTGAGGAAGAGTGAGAAGTGTGATGTGCCAGGACTAAGAGCATTGGAGGGGAGCTGACCGGGATGGGAGGGACCGGGTGTGAAGGTGGCTGGAGTGACATCTCACTAGGCCTAGGGGTTGAGGCTTGGGTTTGTTGTAGCAAGTGGGTGTGTCCGCACAGAAAGAGACAGACAGGAACATAAATGGCTAGAAGGAGTGAAGCTGACAGGAAGTGAGATAAAAAGGTCAGTGCCAGCCTGGTGATAAAAAGGCCATTCACTCATCTCCTGGGGACTGGTGCACATGTAAGCCCCAGGGGTCCCTCTGAAGGGCACAATTGTTACTCAGCCCTTGTCAGTTATTGTCACCCTGGCACGCGAGCTTGGCATGGTCAGATATTTTCGAGAAAAGTTTGAAACGTAATAGAGTGTTATGTGTTGCCTCCAGGTTTTTAAATGTTGACAACCTTAAAATGGTTGTGTGTGTGTGTGTGTGTGTGTGTATCCAAAACACACCTAACACGTATGTGCAATGGCTGCAGAGTTGCTGGGAAGCTGCTGGAAGTTTTGTAAGGAGGGACACGTTGGGAATAGCAGGCCTGGGTTTTAGGATGCCCACTCGGGGGCGGTATGGAGGAATGGCCTGGTAGGGGGGACAGTTGTGTCTGGACCGAAGGGGCTGAGGCCTGAACAAAGGCAGCTGACCTGGAGAGGGAGGGCTCCCACAGTGTAGGGGTCTTCAGGGATCAGCCCCTCCTGGGGGCGTTAAGGGTTTAAGTCCCTTATCCCCTTTGTCCCCTTTAAGAGATTGCAAAAACACCATCTAGTGGGTAGGGAGGCCTATGTGGAGTGGGGTGCCCCTGAAAATCCTGAAGGTTGCACTGTGGCCTGCCACCCCGAAGAAGGACCGAGGAAGGATGGAAGGATGGGGGGGGGTAAGACATTCCAAACAGCCTGAAGAGGGAGGGGCCACGTTGGGGGAGGGGCTCAGGAATCCGCCTGGCCTTCAAGAAGACCCCAGCCAGCCCTAATGGGAACCACACGTGGGGCGAGCTGGAATCCCGGATTGCCTGTGACGTTTGGCTTTGGAATTGGACACTCGGCTCAGGTCACTCCTGAGCCGCTGAAGTCTGAGGCCTCCCAGCCCAGCTCCGCACCTAATTGCTGCCAGACACATTTGGCCCTGCACCCAGCTCTGGGGCCAGCCTGGGTCTCCCTATCTCTCACCAGAAGAGCACCTACATTCTGAGGGGGGAGGGGGTTTCAGACAAGAGTTCTAAACTGCTTGATGCTCTCAGAATAGCAGAACAAGAAGTCCTTCCCAGTGTCTCCCCGAACAAGATCCCCTGGACCTCACATGGCTCCCAGAGCCCCGAGCTGCTGCTGGCCTTGCAGAAATGGGCGCCCTGGGCCTCCATTCTTCCATGGCAGCATCTGTAGGGTGCTCCTTTCCTTCAGGCCCTCAGACACCAGGAGCAGGGAGCAGTCCAAAGGGCAAGGGGGAGAGCCGTGGGAGCAGGTGGTTTGCTCCTGGAGATTTGCA